AAAATTTTTTGCTATATATAATTTATTATTAATGAATCACTTGATATACAGAATTAAAGTCAATTCAATTCAAGTGATATTAAGGTTTATATGATTTAAGTCGTTGTGTCACTAATATTAAAAGGAGGGGAGAGAGAGAGAGACTGAGAGAGAGAGAGACTGAGAGAGATTGAGAGAGAGAGAGAGAGAGAGAGAGAGAAAGAGTTAGCGTTAGTCGTAATGAATGAGTTGACGGTAATGTCAAGAAAACCCAATAAGACTTATGCAAACATAAGGATTATGACGATTCTTAATGTAAATACAGGAGCACTCTATGGTGTGGCGAGAGAAGCCCGGGATTACATGTTATTTGACGGCTTTAGGAGCTACCAGTCGTTGCCTTTTGTCAACTGATCTCTGAATGAGAGCACCGGCTTAAAAGCACATACACTGTGCGCTCAAAAGGCTATCCTTTTACTACACCATCCACTCAATGAATGTTTGGAAAGCCTAGAAGTCATATCATTTGTTTGCCTCGACTTTTTTTTCTGGGGTTAAGTCTAGTTTATGATACTCTTATTCAGTGAAACAGAATATTCTGGTTTATAACACAATAACTGTATTGAGAATATCCACCACCCGATAGGGAGTTGAATAAAATCAATACATGTATTTCCAATTCTTTAATAAAACACATTATTTATACACCAAAAAAGCTGTCTGTACTCACAGTAGATGTCGAGAATCCAGGAGTCCTCGAGGGCCGAGTCGGGCAGCACCGAGTGGTCGGCCCGACACGACAGGATCTTCCCGTTGTCGTCGACGGTGGGCGTGAAGTGAACGGTACTGACGGTGATGTTCTCGTTTTTGGTGATCTCTTCGGTGGTGTGGGCCAGTCGTTTGGAGCCCTTCCACCACGTGACCAGTGCCGGGGGTCGAGACCCACCCGCCTCGCACACCACCTCTATCTGGCGGTCGGCCATCAGCGGCCTGTGGACTGTCGTTATCCGCACATCTAATGGACGCACTGTTTGGCGATATTTGTAATCAAATTATTAGTTTTGTTTTCAATTATTTGATACAATTTTGTGAATTATTGAAATGTTATTTGTTTTTTGTTGTTTACTATTTATTTTAGGTTTAGTTTCAGGGTGTAATATATTTTTGAATTTTTCTAGTTTGCTTTTTGGTGAATAAACTGCGAGTGAAATTGAGTTTTCATTTTATTTTATAATAAATCTCTTTTAAAGCTCTTTTAAAAAGTGTTTATAAATTGATGTTATTTTTGTGGGCTTTATTGGAGTTTACAGAATATTCTGTTTGGCATAATAAATATATAAGCTTTAATGAAAAATATTGTCATAATTCTAAAATGAGATTAAATTTTATATTAGAATAAATTATTAATCCTAATCTGCAAATTTATGCATTTTTACAATAAATATTATCTACTTATCAAAATTAAAATATTCAGCTAAATACAGTATTTGTATCCAATATTTTACAAAACAATATTTATACAATGTTTATAACATGAATTTGTCGTGTGACCTACAATTTATTATTCACTGACAAAACAACTTCATTGAATCCTTACAACAATTACTTAATCAAAATACTTAAGATTAGTCTTTGTTTCTCTTGTATATAACATATCAATAGAAGACTTCGAAGAGAATAATGATCTGAATTTCATTTTTCACTCAATTCTTAGCAAAGATTATTGAATTCATGAAAAGCTTAATACTGTACAGAGTCTCTCTCTCTCTCTCTCTCTCTCTCTCTCTCTCTTTCTCGCTCTCAAAGCAAACTTATGTTTGAAGTGTTTGTGCAAAAAATATATACAAAAAATGCGATACGAATGAGATGTATCGATAAGAATAAAAAATGAACACAAAAAATAAAAGGCAAAGAATTTAAGTGAATATTCTGTGTTTGACTTAAAATATTGTGTAAAATGCATTGATTTATCATTCAATATAAGGTGTGATGAATGAGGAGAAAAGAATTATTCATTTTGAATGAAAGAAAGCGGTCATCACTTGAGAGAGAGAGAGAGAGAGAGAGAGAGAGCTATAAGTAATATTATGGCTAAAGTATACTAGCAATCGATAGGAATGATATATAAACGAAAAAATAGGGCCAAACAGAAGTGGGAATAAATAAAATAAAAAAAGTACAGCAAAAGTACAGCAAAAGTACAGCAAAAGAATCGCCAAAAGACTATAAGAGAGAGAATAGTGGAAAAAATGTGTCCAAAAGGAGTATAAGTTTTTGTAGGTTAAGACACTCACAATTGAGCTCTAATGCAATGCTGGCAGTGACTGGTTTCGTAAGATTAGAGTTGTTTGCCTGACATGTGAGGATAGACTTGTGATCTGTACGTAAGAGACGGGTTATAACCAATTCGTTTCGTACGATTCCCTGCGGAGTCACTATCCAGGAGTCGTCCAAAAGTGTGCTGTCTTTATACCAGCGTATGCTCGGACGCGGTTTGCCTGGATGTCCACCAAACATACAGAACAGGCATTTCATTAATTGCCCCCAAAAATGTATTTGTGAAAATTAAATTTGATATAAAAATAAGTTATAGTTAATTAACATCTATAGTGAAAACCAAAATTGTTTTTAATAATAATAATAATAAACTTTATTAATCATAACTTTTTTGATTATTCTGTAAAAAATTTACAAAGTTTAAAAAAGTTTATTATTATTATTATTAAAAACAATTTTGGTTTTCACTATAGATGTTAATTAACTATAACTTATTTTTATATGAAATTTAATTTTCACAAATACATTTTATATGAGATTTTATTTTTCAAAATAAAACCAATTAAATTTAAGCCAATTTTTCGTTTTCATTTACTATTTATTGACAAAAATGATGCCTTACCTCCCTCTGCCTCACATATGACAGTCAGGTGGGCCCCTTCGTTGAAAGGGCCGACAGGATCCCGGAGCCGCTGCCCGTATTCATCCATTATTATCACTTCTCTCGGAGGCACTGATAGACAAATTACAAGCATTTGAGTGGAAATAAGAGATAATTCAGTTTTTTAAATAAAAAGTAAAAACAATCAATAATTTGTATACCGATTACGTCTAACTGCACGCTTCGGTACTGAGTCCGGCCTTTCCGGAAGTCTATCCGACACTTGTATTCGCCGATATCGGCCGCTATTTATCGTAGAAATTGTTATTCAAATTAATATTAATTTAGTTTATCTAAAACATAATTTATTTTATATGGGAAATATTTTGAGCAAAAAATTAATAGGTCAAGAATCTGCAATTAATCTAAAATAGATTCAAAACTTTTGACTCAAAAGTAAGTTTTGGGAAATATTTTTAGTTATTGACAATCAGTAATTGCTTTCCGCGATATCAATGATAAGATTCTTTAAAATCTAGGTAAATAGTGCTAACAATTAAATAATTAAATCCAGATATATTGATTATAGGACTAACTGTCATATGAATTACAAATAAAATAACACCAACTAAATTAAATTAACGGTTTTCATGGTTAATATTGAGAGTAATGGCGAAAATGAGTGGTAATGTAAACCAAACTAAGACAGACACTGAGGACGACGCGTATACGACACCTCTATTATACAAATTCATTAAAGATAAGGGCTTTGAGTTGAAAGACAAGATAGGAAAGGGACAGTTCTCGACAGTGTATAGGGCCTCGTGGACAGGTATGCCCGGAGTGGACATGGCCTGTAAGCGCATCCCATTGGAGGAGGTGCCCGAGCAGTGGAAACAGGACTCTATGAACAACGAGTTGGTTATCATAAAGCAATTGAAGCACAAGAATATCATCGAAGTGTACGAAGTGTTCGCCACTAAGAAAGTGGTCTTCATTT